CACCAGAAAAGACAAAGTTGAGGTAAAAATATGAATCCTGCTTGAAAAGAAAGTTGGAGTTATGCCCACGCTCTCCCAACTTTTATAATGTTTAAAAGTAACACTACAACTGACAGGAGAAAAGCAATTATCAGAACAGTCCCAATTATAGATAGACGTAGAAGGGAGTTCACAAGACACAAGCTGAGATGTGAAGCAATGACCCAATTCCGCTCCCACCAAAACCCACTGCAGCTTTGATAGGAACCTCAGCAAGGAAGGGACACCTTGGCTCTGCCTTGAAATACTCACATCTGGGATTTCATTGATAATGAGATCAAAGCTTCCTACTCCAGAACTGAGCAACAAAACCAGGAGGCAGATCAGATGCTTCATTTTCTTCCCAAGAACAGCCTGCACAGGTACTTCTTCTACACAAGATCTTCCCTTCTCTGAGACAAGTTCAAGGAAACAGCTCAGGGTTATGCAGTATTTTGAGCAAAGTTCTGAAACGCTGACTTTGTTTAGGCCATGGGTAAATATTTGCCTTGCAACGCAAGTCTGAGCTGTGGTGCCTGAGCAAGGGTTATCCAAATAGTGTCTTCACTTGCCTGTGCTCTCGATAACATCCCTGGCTTGGATAGGCTCACTTCTTGCTTTTGTAGCTTCCCGTGATGTTTGACTAATTTCCTGCTAGGCACAGACCTTAGAGTATCCAAAACTTCAAAAGATCAAAGCAAGAACTCGCTCCCAGATTGTTTGTTTATAGTAAGGAGGTGAAGACTGGCTCTCAGTGTGATGGAGGCAGCAATGTTGTGCTTCTCCAAGGGCCCTCCCACCCAGCATCTCACAGGGGTTGGCAGGGACCTTTGGATTGGATCCTGACCCACACAAATACCCTTTCTTTCCATCCTGCTGGGATAGGATCATTGCTGCTAGAGGGACAGTTCTAGTCTTTCAAAACTGATCACGAGAAACATCTGATGATATTTTCAGATCTGTGTTGTATGGCTCCTGGGTGCTTTTGTTTTGGCCTCCATGGCTCTTTGGGGGCTTTAGGAGATGGGATAAAGTAAACCAGCAAAGCAAAAGGGGCAAAGAAGGGAGGAAGGAAGTTTCTGGCAAAAGGAACTGGAGTATCCCTTTCACTCTTCCTGGAAGAAAGAATATTTGCAGACATTGGAGCAACTTTAATGGAAAAGACTGAATTACTATGTGAACTCAGGGACAAAACAGCAGACAAATTATACTATATCATACTATATCTTAGCATATCATATCATTATATTCACTGCATTTTGTTAATTATGTTTCACTAAAAGATTTCTGCAGCACCAGTCTGCTCTTCTCCTTCCTCCATCTTTTCAATGGATTGTTTCTCAGGCTGAGACCTGAAACTACATCCAGAGGTTCCCAGAGGAATGCCAGCAGAATAGTGACCCTTCAGCTCACTGCCAGGTAAGAGCTGCTGAAGGTGCTTGGGAGATAACATAAGAACTGGAACATCCAAATAGGGTCTTTTCCAAAGACCCTGGTCCTGCTGACGCCACTGTTTTTGATACCATCTAGCAGTATTTAAGCTAACTACCTCAAAGTTAGCTTAGGAAATCCTTCCATGAATGCCATTGGAGCTTTGGCTATGACAAAGCTTCTCCAGGGCTGAAAGAGCAGCAGGCATGGGGCACAGTCTTTGCTGTGTGACTAGTAGAGCTTGGATTTTGTGTCTGAGCTGAGTTCTGTTCACACATGTGCCCCTAGCTCAGAGTGACCAGTCTTTTATCATCAGAATCTTAAACTGTTCTGGAATTATTTGAGCCCCCTGGACCAGGAAGCAAATCACTACTGCTGTGAAGAGAGAAAAAAAAAGTCCCTTTAGAACAGGGTTTATTTTAAAAATTAATTTTGTAACCCCTTGTTTAAGTCCTCTCACAGCTATTAAATGTGGCTAAGTTTTCGTTGGGTAAAAAGATCAAGACTTGGAAATCATTGTGACCACTAGATGGCACGAACTGCTCGAATATACTGTCCAAAAGCGTCCAAAAAGCTGAAATTTCTCAAGAAGGTACAAAAAATACATGGCAGAAACAAGTACTGAGGATGCTCAGAGCCCTGCCATCAGTTTAGGAGAACCTTTCCAGGATTTCATGAGGGGAACAGCATCTCAGCAGGATGTTGAGTGCTATGTGTCTATTGGACTGGTTTGTGAGTTCACTCATGCCTGGGATTCCTCTGGAAGTTTTCATGCACTGTCCTCCCTGAAGCATTTGCAGTTCCTGCTGGGCATTTCTGTCCCTCATAATAATTAAATTGTGGTAATTTGGCTTGCATCTGTCACAATTTCTGTGTCTTATGAGGCAGCCAGCTTTCTCCTCCCATATGGAATTTCATATCTCCAAGATTTCCAGTGATCCAGACAAGAACAGGTGTACCTGCAAGGCAACACACTTACCCAGGGTTCTGCTGCCCTGACATTCATCCCACCACACACCAACCATGCTGGGAAATGATAAATGGACATACAGAAAAGCCTAACTTGATGCTGCTGGTCAGGCACTGGCACAGGCTGCCCAGGGAGGTAAGGGAATCAGCATCCCTGGAAGTGTTCAGAAGGTGTGAGGATGTTGCATTTGGGGATGTGGGTGAGTGGTGAACACGGTGGTGTTAGGTTAAGGGTTGGGCTCAGTGATCTTAGAGGTCTTTTCCAACCTTAGTGATTCTATGATCCAACTTTTTTCTCTTTGCACTGCCACTCATCAGAGATGTACCAAGTACCAGGACTCAGCAACCTGCCTGTCTGCTCTAGTGATCTCTTCAAGGTGGATTTCACAGCAGTCCCCCAGACAGAATCAAATATCCTCAGCACCAAGACCCTGTGGCAGAGACTTTGGGCATTTTTTGTCAGAACAACACCAGAACTGGAAGCTCTGAAATGCTCTGCTGGGCCATGCACACACCTAATGGCAACAGGGAGATCATCACCCACTGAGACCTCAGAAAGGCCTTTTGGGAACACAGGCACCTCCCAAACAGTGTCAGCACTGGGGACCATCAGGTTCTATCCAGGTGTTTCAGAGAAGATTGCTTAGATTAAGACCTGGAGGAAAATATGGAATGCAATTCCCTGAACTTCATGGTAATTAATTTTACCTCTGGACATTTTGCTATGACTACACCTGTGTAACCCTTTGGGATTCTTGCCAGTTTCTTGATCAAATTACTGGCTTTGAATGCCACTAAGTTGTACACTGCTAGTGCTTTGAGTAGATTTAGTTCCTGGGTCAGACACTTCTATTTGGGCATTTAATGTAGGTGTCCCTGCGTGAGGTCAACATCACTGAGCTGTCTGTGTTTGTGTGTCAACACAGAGATTCCTTGATCTGTTCCAGGTGAGATGAGTGTGGAAGCTCACCTGTTGGATCACACCTCTCTCCAATGTTTCAGCTCCTGCCAGGCAATTTCTTTTGCTGAGCCCCCACCCAAGGAACAGCTGCTCATCCTGCTAGGTCAGCAAAAGTCAGCATCAAACATGTCTGAGTACACCTGAGTAACTGCTTATCCTGACTGCAGAGGCATCCCCAGAACATTGCCTGCCATGGTAAGCCCTGAAATCAGGAGACTCTTCCAAGGAGGGGGAAAAGGGGGTAGTGTGAACAATCAAGACCCCAGGGCTGAATGTTCACTCACCAAACCTAGCTGCATCTGAACCACATTAAAACACACCTTGGTCTTACTTAGCTACGTGCTGTGTCCTTACGTGCCCTTGGTGAGGAGAGCATGAGCTGAATTGGCTGCTCCTAATCCCTTTGGGAAGGGCAGTGCTTTTCCCAGCTCACTCTCTCATGCCCGTTGGTTATCCTGAACCTGTTCAAGGATCCTGTCCTGGCTTGAATATCCTCCTTTCACCAGGTGTGCTTAGAATCAGCTTATTGCAGCATCTTTGCACTGTCTCCCTGTTTTGATCCACTCTGGCCCTCAGCTCCTCACCTGTGCAGTGGGAGAAGCAGAGGCTGAATGCTGAACAGGAGGCAAAGAGGGATAACCAGTGAGATTTGGATGTTATTCCAAATGCCTCCTGGCCGTCCAATGGTTATTTCAAACTGGCAAACATTCCCCTTCCTAACCAGAAACTATTGTTACCTCTAGGGTTATCATGCTAGTTTTAGCTTGCTTTTACAGGGGTGCCTGGATTTCCTCTAGGTTCTCCAGAACAGTAGGGAAATCATCCTATATCCAAGTCAGAAATACAATTTAATAGGAAAAACAAAACAATAAATGCAACAGTACAAAAAGAAACCACTGACAGAGGCAGAAAACAACCTGACACCCTGTCAGTCAGGGTGTTGGTAGCAGTTTGATTAAGTGGTGGCTGCAGTCCTCCTGCAGTGATGGATCTGTTGGAGCAGTGATCCTGGAGATCTGGGCTTCACCTGAAGGTCCAGTGGTAACTCTTGTGTTCTGGGACCCAGCTGTGCTGATCCAAACTTCTGCTTATATCCAGGTGGGAATGCTTGGCTCCCCCCCATGTGAGAATTCTTGGCTCCCCCCCTTGGGGTGAAGCATCTCACAATGGTACGATGTAATTCTATACATGGGTCCTTGACAGGCCATTAAACAGAGATATCCTCCTGATATCCTACTCACCCTTATTTATCCTACTCAGGGATGAGTAGGAGATAACGAGCACTGCCCTCACCTGCTTTAACAGCTTGTGGAGCCGATAATAGAACACATACCCTTGTTACCCCCTACGTTGTAACCTAGGACCTCTCTCCTCCCTACAGACAAGGTGAGGACTGGCAGCTGCATCCGCAGGGACACAGCGGTGACTTGTGCCTCCCAGCTGCGGGATGCATCCCTGCGAGCATCCCTCGGGCAGTTTTTTTGAAGGGGCCGGTCCGAGCTGGGAAGGAGGAGGAGGAGGAGAGGGTGGGTGGTTCTGTCGGGCTCCTCGCAGCAGCCGGCGCAGGCAGCGGGCGCAGCGCTCTCCTCGCACCTTTGGGGCAGGAGCTCTCCCAGCCATCATGATCCTTTGGCTGTGGCTCTGCTGGGGTTTCCCCAGCTCGGCAGGGCAGCCCGACTCGGAGCTGATGGCGAGGTACCTGGAGGAGCAGCTGCTGGCGGACTACAGCATCGCCGAGCAAGTAGGTTTTGGGGCAGTGTTATTCGAGAGTTATCAGGTGGTCAGCGGTGGTTTGTCCCCTCTTAACCATCAGTGTGGACACGCAGGGCAGGCTGCAAAAAAGGCATTTATCACATCTGGCGCTGCAGCTCAGCTCCGCGGGAGGTTGTGGCTAACGTGCATGGAAGTTGTTGGAGGTGCTTAAGCCAGGAGATCACCCTTGGGTGATGGGTGGGACTGCCAGGGCTTGGGTTCAGTCTGACATCCCCAGGGCTGTGCTAACGAGGCATTTTGCAGGAACAAGGGAGTTAACGAAGTGTCCTGGCCCTGAGCCAGTCTGAGTAATTCAGAGTATTTCAGGCTCGGAGGGAAGTTTTTCTGCCTATGGTCTTAGTGTACTTGATTTTTAACTTGTGCTGGGTGAAGCAAATCACATGAACCTTAGCTTCTAAAATGCTTTCTGTCCAGGAGAGGGGGGAAAAAAAGCATATTCTACAAGTGAAGACTGTTATGTTAGTGTGTGGCTTAGATTTTCTGGGAAAATGGGGCTGAAAGGGTAATGAACTTTTTGCAAGTTAGCAAGAGAGTTTGGGTGGGGGTTTGGGAAGTTGTGATCCATTTCTAGGGGAAGATGTCTCTGCCCATGGCAGTGGGGTTGGAACTGGGTGATCCTTAAGGTCCCTTACAACCCAAACCATTCTGTGATTCTATAAAAGGCTGAGCTTCAGGTCTGTGCCCACATCTTTCACCTCTGTAACAGATATCGGTGTGTGACTTTGGTTCACTTAGGGCATCAATCAGTTGTCTATAAATTTGATCAGATCTGAGAGGCTCTGTAGTATCTGAGACATCCATATGGGTCTGACAGATACAGGATGTGTAGGACCTGTGGAATACCTGGCTGGTGTGCTTAATATGTCAGTGTTTGCCTGTATTTGGCATTTTTTGCCATACACTAAGTGGGAAGAGTGAGACTTCTCATATGTACCTGTACATGTCCCAGAGCTGCTCATTCAGTTGCTCATCTCACCTGGAATAGGAAGAATCTCTCCCCAGAAATTCCTTCTCTCTCCTCTATGAGGATCTCAGCAACTTTGTTGTCGATCCTGATTACTATGAACACATATTCCTTGTTGGGGAATTCAGCCACAAACCAACATTGTCTTGCAGATCCACCTGTCCAAACAGGAGAGAATATCTCCACCACTGTCCTGCCAGTGGAGTGGGACCTGGGAATACTCACTACCTGCTTTAGGGGAAAAATCAGTTGTGAAGCTCAAACAAGTGGCTCACAGTGTTGGAATAACCTGGCTGATGTTGCTTGAGGCAAATGAGGGTGTTTTCACAGGAGCTGTGTTGCTGTCAGACCAGTGGCAGCAGTTAGTTCCAACAGGAAAGCAGTGATGTATGAACAGAGGTGGTGACCTAGTCCCCTGGGACACCCAGATCTAGAAGAGGACATCTGTCTGCCTTCACTGAACACCTGAGCCAAGTTAAGAACATGCAGGTGCTCCCCTAGGTCAAGATACTACACTGTAAACAAACCTACTCCTCTCCCTCTCCCTCTCCTCTCATTGAGAGATTCCCAAGGAAGCTGTTTCCCCTTGGTTCTAATTTTACAAGATGTTGCCTAAAAATAATGCAGAAGGAAATAATAAAGCTTTTGGTGGATGCAACTTAAATTTCCCCACTGGGCTTTCCTGAGCTTTTCAATGCATGATATAAACAGACATAAAATCATCTCTTTGGCAAGGGTTGATGTTATTTCAGAGGAAATCAACAGAAAGGGCAAATCAGGTAAAAAAAAAAGATCATTGCATTCCTCTGCTCTCTGGAGTTCCACTGACATTTTAAGAAGGCACTTGGCTTCCCTCATTGACAAGAAACTTGTACTCTGTGCTTTGGGGAGGGATTCGATTTGGACATGTTGCTGAGCTGAGACTTACACCATGTGCAGGGAAGAAGTCAGAGGAGCTGGGAAGGGCAATACCGTGAGTACAATTGCACTGTCACAGGTGAAGCACTTCATTTCATCAAAAGATCTGTAGCTGAGTTTAAATATCTTTATTCCCTTTGTGCACATAACTAGTGCATTTCTGCCACTGCAAAATAAATCTACAGTCACTGTGGAGAGGATTCAGGCAACAGATCTGCTCTTGAGGCAATACAGCTGAGGCTGTAACATTAATTTGCACTAGTCATAGAATCATGGAATGGTTTGGGTTGGAAGCAACACTAAAGATCATCCAGTTCCTGCCTCTCTGCCATGGGCAGGGACAGCTTCCACTAGCCCCGGTTGCTCAAAGACCCACCCAGTCTGGCCTTTGATGCTACCAGAGATGGAAGTGCTCCAATCCTCCCCTGGAGCAGGTCCACCTGTGGAGCAGGATGGAGTTATGCTTCCTAAGCCCCACCACAGGGGTGCTAGGTGTAACCTGGTTGCTGGTCAGGCTCAAAGCAGCCACACTGTGCTGAGCTGAGGACAACCTCGAGTGACCAGGCTGGTCATGACCTCAGCCCTGTCCCTACCCAGTGTCTGTAACCCACCATGAGTGCTGAGTGCTCTTGCACAGGTGAAGGCCACAGCTGGACTGAGGAATGTGCTTTGGTTTTTACTCTCCTGAGGATGTAGATGAGCCCTGTGTGGCATCTGATGAGCATTGTGGACCATTCAGCAGCTCTTCTCATCATGTGCCATATACCATGCAATGGGGCAAAGACATGGAGCCTTTGTGTCACTCTGTAGGAAGCCGTAGGGGAATATACTTCAGAGCTAAGACAGAGCATCCAGGGCCAGGGCTAAAGACTGAAATTCCTGTCATCTCATAGAGGGTCTCTTGCCAAGTACCATTTGCAAAACACCCAGTACCTCCTTGCCTGAGAGAGCCACATTCCACCACTGAGCTTTGATCAATGGGTCTGTTAATAGAGAAGAGATTCGGGTTTTAATTTTAACCAGAGGAACATTTGAACCTGTCCATGGGTGATCAGTCACACAAGCTGTGTCTGGATTTAAACAAGTGACATGTCTGCAGTGATTTCCCTAAGCTCCATTAACTCCCTTAACTCTTTGCAGGTTGCACGTCGTGTCCCAAGACAGGCCAAATTCCTGCAGAGGTTGGTATGTATCACTCCATGTCTTTATCTCACCTCATGGGAATTTCATTTGTTCTATATATATGTGTGTGTATATCCCTGTGCCCAGGAATGAGCTATATCAGTGGGTGAGAGTAGAGTGAGATTCTAGGTGACAAAAAAAAAATCTTCATTTTGATCAATGTAACATGTACAGGTTCTTTTAATACTTCTCAATCCATCTTCTCCATCCCAGAACTGGAGAAAGAACATCCAATGTTACAAACCTTAACCACACAGTGAACATAAGCCTGATGAAATCTCTTTGAGTTTGGAGAGAAAGGGAGAGTTTGCTTTGAAATTTGAAGATCTTTGTTGTTTTCTGTCAAGTTCTTCTGAAGAAAGGAAGGAAACAAGGAAAACAACATCCTTCTTTCAGCATGGGAGTCTAAGCTTTAGATGTAGAGAGGCAGCCAGTAGAATTGCTGTTCATGGCCAGTTATTTTTCTGGCTTTTCTAAGGGACCTCCCAGTTGAGAACTGGAGGAACTCATTTCACACACTGGGCACCGACCACCTTAATAACTTCTGGTCCCTTTGATCTTTGCCAGTTTGGAATCAGCAGCCTAATCTCTTGCCATTGTGCTCCCTGTGAGCTGAGCCTGTGCTGAGCAGGGTGATGGTGGACACAGAGCACATCACACATTCTCCAGCTGTTAAAGATATCTATCATGATTAGATTCATCTCAGACACATTTATCAGAGTCTTTCCAAGGCTTGAAAGTGTAGGCAGGAGAGGCTTTATGCCAGGTCTGTTGGCAGTTTTGGGTTTGCTTCCAGTGGATCCTCATTCTTCCCTTTGCCTGGAATTCACTAGCCCAGCTGCTTGGTTAGTTGGATGCTCAGTTGCTTCTGATGCCATCAGCTACTGTAGAAATGTTCTTGTTTCATACTTATTTATACAAACACTTGCTCCCTTTGCTAAGCCATTTGCCAACATTATTTTTGTCCTGGACTTGCAGCTGGAGAACACGTTCTTGTCCTCACAAGTTTTACGTGACTGTGACTTTATGTCAACCTCAATAGGAAGAGTCTCACTGTGTTTGGCTCAGTGAAGTTGCTCTGTATTTGCAATGTGTTTTACCCTTTAGCTCCCTTCTGCTTTTGAGGATTTGGTCTTTGGCTGTTTAAGGCAACATACAGAGTTGTTTTTTTAACTTTCAAGAGTTAATTACACTGAAGTCTTCCAGGAAGAAAACATCTGAGCTCCATGGAGATGTTGCTGTCAAAAAACACATTAGACTGGAGAAATGCTCCAGCTCAGGACTTGTGCACGAAAACACATTCCCAAGAAGCAGAAATTGGCTTTTAGCTTCCATTGCTACATCATGTGTCATTCATTGCTGTCTCTGCTGCTTCTCTGCTGGAAAGAATCCAGTATGGGCTAAAAAGCTTAAAATATTTTGCTTGAGACATCAGTGTCAGTGTTTTTTATTAAGTCTCTTCTATCCATTGGCTGAGACTTCCAGGATGGATTCTCATCAGAAGAGGACACAGTTGACTCCACTGACAGCAGTTTTTCTGTTTACATAACTTATGGATCTGATTGTATGAACTTGAAGTTGCTGCTTCTTACATGGTGATCTCAGTCTTTCAAGAAGTTTTCCATCTGCTCTTGTACACAGGACAGGTTCTGTGACAGTTCTGGTCCCCATGGGGACATATTGTGATCTTCTCTTCCCAGGCCATAAGGGACTAATCTTGACTCCCTCACACAGTCAGGGTTGAAGGCTGCAGGTTAGAACACAGATAGATTTTGTCAGTGTGTTTCACAGCATATAGATTGGCATAATCAGAGCTCTCAAACTCTTCCCAAAAAATTGGAGGATGACTGTAGCCTTTGTGCATGAACAAAGGCAGTGCCATGTTTCTGGTTTACCTTTTGCAGCTCACCTGAAATTTTGAGGACAGGTCCACCTTGCCTGCTGTTGACTGCTTTTCTTTGGGGAGTCTAGTACTCATAGGATGGGAGTTTCTTGAGCATATTTAATCTATTGAAACACTAAAAGGGTGACTTATCCAGCTGTTAATAAGTGTCCTTTGGATTCCTACAGGAAACCAGGCCCCGGATGTCTGAGTTCAACGTGAGATCCACAATCATTTCCCGCTATGCCTTCACCACGGTGTCGTGCACGATGGTGAACAGTGGATCTGAGGCACGAGAAGCTGTGTTTGAGATGCAGATCCCAGCTGCAGCCTTCATCTCCAACTTTACCATGTAAGTAAGTAATGCTGGCAGCTGGGTGGACAACGGTTCTCCCATCCCACAGATAGTTCTGTGAGATTTCCTTAACTAACTAGTCTGTCTCAAGGCCTTCTTGCATTTCTTTGGGGAAAACAAAACCACATACATGCCATACTCCACCTGAGACTGGTCATGGCCCCAAAGCACAGAGCAAGTCCTTGCATGACACGATGCTAAGATTCAAGTCCTCAGTGTACATTGCTAAGGAAATTATCCTGTTTGCCATCTGAGTGTCTTTTAACAGCTTCTTTCCCCTCCTCTCTCTGATCTGAATGAGGAAAATCTCTCCAAGAAACCTTTCCAGTTAAAGTTTCAGCAACACTAGCACGTGATAGTTGTCTCACCTGACTGACTGTGGTGCCTAAGAAGCTCCTTCTCGTTTCAGGTTCCCCATATTGTCAGTAGAGCAGGAGTCAGCTGCAACCAGCAGATAGGTTCACTGGCTGCTGGAGATGCTAGTCATTCTCTGTGGGTAACAGACCAAGTAGAGGGCAACTAAAGTCATACTGAAATGACTTAATAAATTAAATTCTTGGTCTCAAAATCATGTTTGGTTTGGTCATGCTCAGATCCTCTCCATGGGTAGATATTGAGGCCACAGCTTCAGATGTGATCATATTAGACAGGAGACTTACTCTTTAAAACTGACTTTCATTTGGACTGAATAGGAAGAAAACCACACTTTTGCCACTGGCCACACAAAATACGTGTTAAGGGCTGTTTCCTTATGGAATCCACTGCTCTGTAACTCATTCCCAGGGGGAAGCATTTTAGGCAGGAAGGCAGCTACTGGAGAGCAGCTATCCTGAATATCACCACATGCTTTGACACAGATGGTGGGTCCAAGAACAGACAAAAAACTAATCATGATGACATCTCTGGTCTCTACAGGAGCATTGGCAACAAGACTTATTATGGAGAGGTCACAGGGAAAGAAAAGAAAAACAGCAGTGATGACAAAGCAAGGCAAAAGAAACCTCCAAGCCCCACAGATGGAAGGTAAGTGTTGTGCATTTGGCTGTGTTGTGGGAATCTGTGTTCTCCTGAAACCTTTATTTGGCTGCTTTGTCATATCCATTGATGGATTTCTAGGAAGCAGCAGCTAAACCGAATGTTATCTGCCTTGCCTGGTGTCATTCCCATACTCCAAGTCATGTAAAATCACACGTGGCCTTTTCTAACCCTGTCACATATCATTTTCACTTCCAAGAGTAGTACACGCTCCAGGGTGTACTACTGAGGGAAGGAATTCTTGTTACTTCCTGAATAGCAGGCAGGAAAATTAAGGCACTGTCATGGATGGGCTCATCCACTTCACTCAAGAAAAGCAGCAATATACCTTATTTATATAAAGCAGTAAATTAACAGAGTTCAGTGGTAGATATGACAGTGGTTTAGCAGCTTTCTATGGCAAGGTACACTTGATTATTTACTGCCTAGGAGACAGGGTCAGGCACTGAGTCCCAGACTTGGCTAGATCCACTTCTAGTCCCAGACTTGAGTTACAGCTTCAAGACTACAGACTTAGTGCTAGAACCACAAGTAGCCTTTGCAGTCATGTTTACTTGCCCTGTTCTCAGTGCTTGACTGTGTTTAGTCCTCTTGGCTAAGAACTGGCAGAAAGTCCCATCTCTTTAGTGATCTAAAAGCTAATATGTCCACCTGAACTCATTCAAGCAGCACTATGGGCTATTTGCCCAGGTGCCCAAATTCCCCCAAGTGTATCTCAAATTGATGCACCATGGGATGGATTTTATTGCTTTAGAAAATCCCACACTATTCCTAGTTATCTGGGATAGTAGCACAATTCAAACCTGAACACATGGACAGGAACAGCTAAGTAGACTATGATTTTCAGGCCAGAAAAATGCTGAGCTGTGGGGAGGGAGAGAGATCTGAACTAATGAGTAATATGTAGAAAAAATATTAAGGAATCTTTATCGTCAGTCTAGAAAAACTAGAGAAAATTGATTGAGATGATGTCAGGTTCAAAACAGACAGCCAAAGGTATTCTTCACATAAATTGTGTTTCTTGCCACTGGAAATTGTGAATGCCAAATTTAACATGGAATCAAAAAGTGACTAGACAAACTTAGGGTAGGAAAAAATCTATCATGAACCTTTAGCAAAGGAGTTTGTCTCAGAATCCAGACATAGACTGGAATTGTCTTAAAGGTCCTATTTCTCCCCATTGAGTTTGTAGCTATAAACCTTTTGTAGCAATATTAGTGAAGAAGATTTCAGGTGTACTTTGCTAATTTAATTGCAATGTGTCTGCAGCAGCAATATCAAGAATGAAATACATGAGTACATTAAATGAAACATGTTGCTTAGAGAGGTGGTGGATCCCTGATCCCTGGAAACATTGAAGGTCAGGTTGGATGGAGCTCTGAGCCACTTGATCTACTTGAAGATGTTCCTGCTCATTGCAGGAGGATTGGACTAGATGACATTTAAAGTTCCTTTCCAACTACTCTGTAATTCTATGAAATAAGGGATGTAAGAAACCAAAAAAGAACATTTCCTCTGGCTCTACTCCCTGTTATACATGTCTGTCATATTCCTCTCCCTAAGAAGTCATCTTGTCATTTAGGACCTTTCCTCCTTTGGAAATCTCCTATGTGGCTAAATCTTTGTGAAGCATTACCATGTTTTCTTCCTTGGTGGCTTCATATATTCAACGAGAGGAAATGCTTTCATTGAAGCACCAAATCCAGGTTCATCATTCACTGGAGGGAGGCAGTGTGTGATGTGTATGGGATATGAAGGTATCTTTGGGTTTTCCTTCCAGGGAGAATGGCTATGAGACATTCAAGGCTTCTGTCTTCATCCCTCGCAAGATGCAGGCCAGGTTCCTCCTGCACTATGAAGAGCTCTTGCAAAGACGACTGGGAAAATATGAGTATACAGTCAGTATCCGTCCCCAGCAGCTGGTGGGGAGGTTAAAAGTGGAGGTGAACATCCTGGAGAACTCAGGCATAGTTTCACTGGAAGTGCCTCCCCTTCGAAACAGCAAGCAGAAAGGCAATGGGAAAGCTGAAGGTAAGGAGAGATTTTATGACCCACGTTCTGTTGCTTCTTAAGAACTGTCCTGGCAGTGTTGGATCTGTTTTCTATGGGTGGCTGTGTCTGTGTGGTATCTCTGCATAAGTGTGTGAGAACTTTGAGGCTTAGTGAGTACAGGGCTGATCCCATTCATCTCAATAGGACTTTTCTTTTGCTGTTGTCTTTAAGAGCTTCAGGCCTTAAGGTCAGCATTGGAGCAGGCTCTTCCCTGGCTTCACATCTCCTGGGAGCTGTTTATTTTAAGTGAATTGTTTTCTCCATCCATCCATGCCAAAGCAGATAGGAAATCCTGCACTTTAGAACATGGGAAATTCCAAAAGGAAAACCCATTTTTTTTGCCAAAACACTAAGTGCAATCTGAGTATCTGCTCTTACCCCCGACTGTCCTCACTCACAGTTCAGTGTAATTTTTCTGGTGTAAACCAACAATGAGGGACACAGGATATTGTGATTGCTACATGTTGACAAAAACCACCAAAACTAGGTGATGAGTTTGACCTGGAGCAGAATGTAGAGTCTTGTGGGACTTGATCCTCTGTTGCTCCACACGACATAGTGGTAGCAAAATCAGAGGAGCTGTTCATGTTTGCCAGGCAAAGGTCCTAAAGTATGTGGAGCTAAACTGGTTGCTCAGTGGGCTTGTACTGATTTCATCCAAATCACAGTGAAATCAAGGCTGTCAGTGACTCGGACTAGCTTCAGGTCAAGCCTCATACAACTAATTAGTCTCTGTGTCATACATCCACGTGCTGTGTGATAAATGTGCTCTGTTCCTCATCAGGAGAGACAGGAAGCCTTTTCCACCTATCAGGGAGTATCACAGTACATTGTGGCATATAGTTTCCTGCAAAACATCTGGCATTGATCAAGGTTAGAGACAGACTAAGCAGAGCAGACACTGTTGGTGTAGTGCAATATGGAAATTGCTGTATGGAAATGACATACAGGGAAAACTCATGTAACTTGTTATCCAAACAGCAATCTGGGAGCACTGATCATTTTTGGCACTGTGCTTCAGATTTCAAACAGCTCATCTAAGAACGGGCCCAAGCTCTAGGATTCTGTAATCCTCCCTAGCCAGTAAAGTGTATATGAAATAGATGTCCTGTTGCAGGATGGGTAATGCAACTGAAGCTCAGATTCCCTGTGATATATCCATGCTCAGATTTCAATTACAGATCCTTTCTTTCTGAAATCGCCCTGTGTGGTTGATGAAATCTTTGCTATGGAAGTCATTGAGATGTTCAAAGCATTTTGGGGGATCAAAATGGGCATCAGGAGTGGGTTGTGTCTCAGCCAGTTAATGAATTCAGTAGGTTTGCTGAGCTTCTTTCTGCTTTAAGCAAGATGAGTAAAAAAGGATGTTACCAGCAGAAAGAAAAAGGAAAAAATAAATTGGCAGAGGGTCTCAAAAGGGTCTCATACAGGTCATAGAGAAGGACAGATTGTTTTGGACAGAAGGGATTTACTGCTTGTGATGTCTTCTGGCCAATGAGATCAATCACACTCAGAGCAGACAACAGGAACTTCCTGTCTTCCTAAACACACATGGAAACCACAAGAATACACTTAGGGAGGCCAAGGCAAAGAGCATTTCACTTGGAAATCCACTATATTCCAGCTGACTGTCATCTCTCAAGCTGGATCCAAAAAGCAAACCATCTGAGCCATTAGATCCTCCCTGCAAAACCTTCTTGCTCATATGACACCTAAAGAGCCAAGAACATGAGGACTGCACATTCAATGAGACCTCCAGGGAAGGAATTGTGTTCTTCAGTGAAAGGCAGGTGAATTTTGCACCTTACATTGAAAGAGTGGCTGCTTGGCAGACAGCTGCATGCTGAGAGTGAGCTCGGAAAAAATTTTCTCATATCTTCTTGGATTCCTGTGGCTTAAAACCCTTCAGTTCCACTTGACTGAAGAGCATGGAAGCAATCTAGTAAGTAAGTGGCCAGCAAAGGATGACAGACCAGGTGCTGCCATGCTGTGTTACCTGTGGTGCCTCAGTTTAGAGGTTGTGACTTAGAAAAATGACTGAATAAGGAATGGAGGCCTGAACATTGAAAAATGGTATTGCCTGGCTGCTCGGAGTGTGAAAATGTCATGAAAACTCTATTCCTCAATTTTCTGTGTGCACACAGATGTCTATAGCATCTCATGGTTATGGATAAAATATGAGATTTTGAAATCATTGTTGAGGATGGGATGTACCTTTACAAGTCATGTAGATACTTTTGACTCTGACCTGGTCCTGAGGATCCAGTGTAGGATAGGAAAATTAAGGTAAAGATCAAATAAATTTGGCTTTGGAGTTATCTAAATGATGAGCATCAGCAGTGATGGATGTTCATAACTGAAATGCCAACCTATTGTGGAAATAAGTGCTGTTAGCAAAACTAACGAAAAAGTAATAGCAGTAGTTTATATGACCAAATGTGGAGGAATTGCTGATCTTCCTTTATTTTGTGGACCAGTCCTCTTACATTTGTAATGTTTTCCACATGGTCTCCATAGAACCAATGTACTGTGCAGGAAACAGAGTGGAAAAAGCAACTTCTCTGTTTAATGGTCATTGAGGATTTGCCTTTTGAGTCCAACCAAACCACCAGTATCCATAAAGTCAGTGACGAAAGAAGAGATAAGACCTCTAGACAGAAAATATCCTTTGATGAGAAAGAGTGGATGCTTATTTTTACCATCAATAAAACAATGCAGAAATCCCAGCCATTAGGAACAGAAGCAGTAAAGAGTCCAATTCTGCATGGTTTTGGCTGGAGGGGGCAAAGATACCAAAGTTGGACTAGGTTCCACAAAATTCCAGTGATTTATGACAAGAAGCTCTTGGAAAGTCTGTGTCTGTCCTCTCAAAATACAGAGCAATGTGATGACAGGACTGGCCAGGATGTTTCCTTTGTCAGTGAGTCCTGCACACATGGCTCCATCTGGGAGTTGTATTTTACCCAAAGGAAGATATAAATGATGTTTTGGCGTGTGTGGGTGTTGTGTTCTGTCACACATAAACCCCAAAACAAGAGACATTGAGGCCAGTGACCCTGTCCTTTTCTAGTGACTTCTGAGTGATGACCTACCCAGCATCCTCAGGGATGCTGTCCTTACCCTTTCCCTCCAGTGCAGCAGTGTGAGAACTAGTCACAGACTTGGGCAGGAGACACTAGGCTGCTTGAGGATGACCATTTCTCTCCAAAGTCAGGGGTCTCAGAAAGGTTTTCATTTCATATCACAGTTTCCATGTGTGAGCAGAGGATGAATTTTGCATTTGAGTTCTGATCCCAACTCTGCCAGTCTCCAAAATAATTGAGGTTTAACTGTTCATCCTGTGAGGACAACAGTTTCATATGAAAAATGGTTTTTTCCCTGCTCTGTTTACTTCTTTAGCTGCATTTGTTGGAAAGTTTGTCTAAAGGCCCTGCTAACTGCCTCAGTGTGAGCACAGCCCAGCTCAGGTCTTTGGAGCTCATCCATGCTCCGGACTCTGCAATCTCTCATAGATTTTCCTCTCTCTGTCACTTGTTTAAAAAGAACAGAGCCAATAAACAGAGGAGAATAATTGTGATCCAGATATCAAGTGCTGCCTAAAAAAGAAACCTGGGGGAAGATGTAGTAACTGTGCTCAAATATATAAAAAGCTGCTGCAAGGAGGGAAAGGATATTGTGTCTTTTGTGTCAGTAACAGAAAGATCAAGAAGTCATGGGTTTATAATGCAGGAGGAAAAATGCAAATTAGACATTGAAAATGTCAAACACTGAAAAGAAGTGAAGTTCTGGAAAGGATTGGCCAGGGCAGGTACTGAGTTTCCATTACTGGAGGTCTGGAGTGTTTCCAGACCATGTTATAAAACGAAGTAGGAAGATATTCAGTCTGGGAACATGAGATGAGTTAGATAACCTGACTTTCCTGAGCTGATTTGTATTATTTCAGGGTGGGGGAAAAAGCTATTTTGGATCTTTTCTAGCAGACCAATTTTTGTTTTTAAATCTTGGTCCTGGAGCTGGAGATGAGTGGCAGAGGAACACAGAAGTGCTGTCCAAAGGACACAGATGTGTATGTGCAGTAGGAGTCAGGAGGAAGCTTCTGTTTCCAACATGGGACTGACTTTCACTGACCCTGAGTGATATCGGGGAGACCTTCTCACCCTCTGCAACTCCCTGCCAGGAGGTTGGAGTCAGGTGGGGGTTGGTCTCTTCTCCCAGGCAACCAGCAGCAGGACAAGAGGGCACAGACTCAAGCTCTGCCAGGGGAGGGTTAGGTTGGATGTTAGGAAGACATTTTTTAGGGAGAGAGTGATCAGGCCTTGGAATGTGGATTCACCATCCCTGGAGGGTTTTAAGATGAGAATAGATGTAGCACTTAGTGCTGTGGTCTAGTAACCACAGTAGGGTTGGACTCGATGATCTTTGAGGTCTCTTCCCACCTGGTTAACTCTATGATTCTATAAAAGGCTGCAGTGAGGACACAGGCTATGTCCTGTTTCCTTTCTTTCTCCTCTGCCACGAACAGTATTTTGCTCAAAGCTGGTGGTGCTGTCCTGGCAGAGAGTCACAGCCCACTTGCTTCTCCTCTTTCCTTTAGCCACCATTGCAAGGGAAAACTGACCCTTTTACATTGTTATCTCCCCGTTTTGCCACAGCTTTTTGTAAGGACAGGATCAGGATGGAAAGGGAAGTCTGAATTCATTTATTTACATTTCCTCAGTGACAAGAGACTGAAAGGTGGGAAATGGCGGGAAACGTGAGGGGCGAAAAGGGCGGGAAACCAAGGGCAAAATGGCAGGAAACGTTAGGGGGTGAAAAAGGTGGGAAAGAGAGTGGAAAATGGCAGGAAACATGAGGGGGGAAATGGTGGGAAACATGGCCGAAAAAAGGCGGGAAACAGCGGAAAATGGCGGGAAACGTGAGGGGGGGAAAAGAGCAGGAAAGTGAGGGCAAAATGGCGGGAAACATGGCTGAAAAAAGGTGGGAACCTGAGGACAGAATGGCGGGAGATGTGAGGGGGCAAAAAGGGCAGGAAAGTGAGTGGAAAATGGCAGGAAACGTGAGGGGGTGAAAAGAGCAGGAAAGTGAGGGCAAAATGGCGGGAAACGTGAGGGGGTGAAAAGAGCAGGAAAGTGAGGGCAAAATGGCGGGAAACATGGCTGAAAAAAGGTGGGAACCTGAGGACAGAATGGCGGGAGATGTGAGGGGGCAAAAAGGGCAGGAAAGTGAGTGGAAAATGGCAGGAAACGTGAGGGGTGAAAAGGGTGGAAAACAGTGCAAAATGGTGGGCAATGTGAGGGGGCGAAAAGGGCGGGAAACAGCAGAAAATGGCAGGAAACATGAGGGGAAAATGGTGAGAAACATGGCTGAAAAGGGTGGGAAACGTGAGGGGGCAAAAAGGGCAGGAAAGTGAGGGCAAAATGGTGGGAAACATGGCCGAAAAGGGTGGGAAATGTGAGGGGGCGAAAAGGGCGGGAAACAGCAGAAAATGGCAGGAAACATGAGGGGAAAATGG